AGTGAATATATCTGCCACAACTGGGGATATTGGTGATCCCATGCTAACTCCCTCAGTTTGTTTGTATATTTTCCCTTGGAATTTAAATACTGTGGAAGTCAGGCATAGCTGTACTCCCAGCATTATGTTCTCAAGTGGCACCTTTGTCCTAAGTTCGAGTTCTGGGTCAGAAATGAGGTCGTTTCTGACTGCCTACCTCTATAGCCATATTTATTGGTATATGTGTATATAAACTGACAATGTCAATGCTAACAATTTTTTCTTACTTATCTAATTTTAAATTATCTAATCTGTGTTTTAGTTCATAAGAATTAGTTAGTCTAGATTTCGAGTGCCTTTTTAGGGGATTTAATACCATGGCTAAATATTTAGATAATTCATAAGTAGATGAATTCCTAAAATCAACAAAACACTCCCGACGATCTGGATTTCACAGATTATATATGTCTTATGTCATACAATCTCGAAGACTCACAGGCAAGCGAATACCAACAAACTGGCTGAGGTTTCTGGCAGGGAGTGAAGAAAGGATTGCAGGTGAACACAGAGAAGACGAAGGTGTTGAAGATAGCCAATCAACAGCAACAGAAACCAGCACCAATCAGCATCAACGGGAGGGATTTAATAGAGGTTGCCTCCTTCACTCATCCCGCTAGTGAGCATCGTTTCAACTACAGGCACACGGAGTGGACGAAGATGTCGAAGTCAGAATCGAGAATTCAAGGCAAGATTAGCCTTCAACAAACTGAAACCAGATTGGAAATCTTCTACACTCAACCAGCATATGGAACAAGTTTCACATTTTCAACACCGATGTCAAGTCGGTCAGTGCGTCTATACGGCTCAGAAACTTGAACTGCACGTTAGTCACGAAAAGAATTTTCAACAGGTTGCAGCAGACCTTCATCAACACCTGCCCAATTCACTGGCTGGCTGCATACTGAAGATCAAATGGCCAACCAGAAACAATAAGCCACAAGAGACTGTGGCAACGAACCAACCAAAAGCCGCTTAACAAATATGCAGGAGAAAGTGTAGATGGATCGAGCATACATTGAAGTGGCAGCCGAATGACATCGCACGCCAGACCAATGCTTCAGTGCATTCAAAATGGGAAGCGACGAGTTGATCGTCCTACAGTGACATGTAGGATATCAGGTGAAGAAGAGAGGAGACAGTCTGGTGAAAATTACACCCACATGAAGAGGACTTCAGAAAACAGAACAGGGTGGATATGTGTCGTTCCAATTGGAAAGCAAAGGAATCAAAATAGAAAATAACTTAGACAGTAGTGAGATAGAAACCTAGTCTGGCGTAAAATGCCTCAGAATAAATCTATCATGTGAACTAAATTCGTCGGTCATCTCACATCTTGTCAGTTTGTGAGACAATGTTCCGACTAGCCTACTCATTACATCAAGCAGTAGTGACGATCAGACAGGCAGAAAGCCAAGATGGCTGACTGACTCACTAACTGAATCGCCGAGTCGCTGGTGTCATCACTCAACCTCCACGTGTACAATTTGTCAACTCTCGCGTCCTACCTACCTGTTGTTGTTTATTGCTCATCCTGACTATTTTGTGTGCCATTCAGTCACAAGCGACTATGTCATGTTGTGAAGGGTATTGACAGTTGTCAGTTAAGTAATGAGGGTACCAGTCATTCAGCGCGTTAATGCTGTAGTCGACAGATGCTTGAATTCATCAGATGACTGGTCCAAATCCATGTCGTCTGACTATCAGAAACCTCCACACACATTCACACGTCGCCACTTAAAACACACTGAGTAGGATTAGAATTCATTATACAAGATTATTCACTCTCATAACAAAGTAGAGAATATCAACGACACCGTATTTGGCTCGCCTTCTAGTCATAAGCGTGACACCTACACCTTACTATGTAAATAGCACAATGAGTGGGTGGCTCTTTCATCATCTCCTCCTGTTTGTTATTCACAGTGACCCCGTTTCAATTATCTTCTGGTCTGAGTTATTCACATTGTTGTTGTTATCATTACTATCATCATTATTATTGTCATTTTACAATTTGTGTATAGTTTTTGGCTTGAATGTTACTGCCAATGTCGGAATACTGCTACCATCAATTCTCACAGCCTCTTCCCTGTGCTTCAAAGTCTTTTGTTTTTTTATTGTCGTTGAGTTAATTAGATGCGATATTGTAGCAAATGCTTAGAATTCCTTTCTCTATCAAAATTACTCTTTTGCAATAAGCCTAATCATTGTCAGTGTTATGATCGATATTATTATTGCTAGTCATGTTATCATTAGTTTTCTAGATATCAATGACGATAAGGTTGTCTTGTGAATCCCTGGTGGATTCTTCTGAATGCAGCATTAGTTGGGCTCAAATTCAAAGCACCGAAAACTGGTCAGTGAATCCAATCGATATTGTGGTTTGTGAGTGAGTGAGTGAGTGAGTGAGAGAAGTGGAGTGAGATGAGGTGAGGTGAAATGAGGCTGATATTTATCGAGCAGTAACACCATCCTGTAAATAAACTTCTCCACCAGAGTTGTTAACCAGATTCAAATATTCCTACGTGGAATAAGTGATTATTGCTGAGATGACAGATTACCTGCAATCTCGTCATCACTACAGAATTAATAATTTAGTAAGGAGGATATGAATAATCGCCTCATTCCAGTTCCATCTCTCATTCTCTCTCAGTCCATCTTTCCCTGTTTCTCCCATTCCCTCACTCACTCACTAACTCACATACGAACGCACACACATGTGGATGGAAATCATGACCAGACGATGGTGAACATACAGACATGTTCATGCGTATGCAATCACAAACGCTCGTCTCCCCTCTACACAGTATTCATTCTGAAATTCTACGAAATCGGAAATAATATTGCATGATGAGATTTATTAATTTTAATTTGTCTCATTTTAATCATACTTTGACTCCACACAGTATTTTCGATAAAAGCTTGAAATTGTCACCCAGAAGAATGGGTGAGGGGGGATATTTCTCAATGCAAATCAAACTCACTGTAATTATTTAGTTATCGATTTTTTTTCCTTCACGTTCCCCAGTAGAACACAGGGCTTCAACCTGGTGTCTTGAAGTTTCTGTAGCAGTGTTTATTTTACATGTTGGGGTTGTTAGCCTCACGCCCAACGTTTCCTTTTTACCAGCATTATTTATGGCTTAGCGAGGTAAAGGAGTGCGTCGGCCAGGAATCGAACCCCGGCACATGTGCATGGTTGGTGAGCGTCCCAACCGCTATTCCAATGACGCACTTAGTTATCGATGGGTTTAGTTAATTGATTAGTTAGTAAGTGATTTATTCACTTCTGTAGACGGTCCGTTGGTTGCTTAGTTACTTTGTCAGTTATTTATTGAGTCATTTGGTTAGTTAGTTAGTTAGTTATCTAATCAGTTAGCTGGTGAGTATATTTCTCACTGCAAGTCAAACTCACTGTGCTTTCGTCTCAATATCCATGTACAAATCGAATGGAGGCGGTTATTCACGACGTAAATTACTTCAGGTAGTTAACTTTGTATTACGTGTCTATGGGAATTCTGTCGTCATATCACATCTCACGTTCGCCCAGCTTCAAATGTGACATGTCAAGTAACTTCAAAGAGATTGAGTATCTGCTGCAGACTGTGGAGGAAAGCTGTTTGCGAAAATAACCTTGTGATAGACAGCTCCTATCCTCACAAGATCACATTGACTCACAAGACAGGACAACGAATTCACACGTGAGTCAGCACACAACATGAGAATGTTGATTCAGTTTCATCCGAAATCCAACAATATCCTGTTGGAAGTGTGTGGAAATGGTGAGAAAATTGTTAGTCAGTAAGTCAGTCACTTCCTTATAGTTTCGACTGTGACGTGAATCGCTCTCAGTCAGTAAGGATTGTCCTTTGTTCACCACACCTTCAAATTATTGGGATTGTTTGAATCAGTAAACGACTGTTCATTTCCCCTACCGCACACTACTTATCGTGAATAGTTGGAGAGATACAGAAGAACTCACAATCCACCAATCTCTATTCACTTGTACTTTTTCGGTGTCACGGTAGTTAGGAAGCTCGCTATCCATGCACACGCACTGAGGTTCGATCGCGAGCGACACATACGTGATAACGATGTTCCGCGTGGTAAATCTCGGTTACCTATATCACATTCTGACAATTACAAGCTTGTATCGAAAATACTGTTTGGAGTCAAAGTATGATAAAATGAGGCAAATTAAAATTAATAAATCTCATCATGCAATATTATTTCCGATTTCGTAGAATTTCAGAATGAATATTGTGTAGAGGGGAGACGAGCGTTTGTGATTGCATACGCATGAACATGTCTGTATGTTCACCATCGTCTGGTCATGATTTCCATCCACATGTGTGTGCGTTCGTATGTGAGTTAGTGAGTGAGTGAGGGAATGGGAGAAACAGGGAAAGATGGACTGAGAGAGAATGAGAGATGGAACTGGAATGAGGCGATTATTCATATCCTCCTTACTAAATTATTAATTCTGTAGTGATGACGAGATTGCAGGCAATCACTCATCTCAGCAATAATCACTTATTCCACGTAGGAATATTTGAATCTGGTTAGAAACTCTGCGAGATAAACATCGGCCTTACCTCATCTCACTTTACTCAGCCAGTTAATTAGTCGCTCACTAAACTTGATATCAACTGCATTCATTGTACATTTCACCTGTTTTTATTCAATTACTTCTGGATTCATTTTGGTAATGGGTTATTAATCGACTTTTAGTAATTCAAGCGACTGTTCACTGTGTAAATATCTCGTCTTTCATTGTCATTTGATAACATTAGTGGACTAATTCTAATGACCGAATATATTCATTGATTGAAACAACTGATTTCCCCTTGTCTGATATTTTGTTTCACATCTTAGTTATTCAAAATGTTTATTCGTCTGGTGGAGTATACTTGATTAGTCGAGTAAAACAAATTTTGGTAAAGTGGTACAGTTCAAATGTTTTATTGGTTGAAGAATCAATCAGTGATTTACAACATACAGAAAGTGTGATGAAGATCACTGTAGTGTTTAACAAACTTATTTTAATATAATAATAATAATAATAACAGCATTAGTAAGGGAGGGAAAATGAAGACGGAACGAAAGCAGATCATCTTCCATATTCTCGAAGTATGATTCCCTTTAATTGTACAGTCTTCCTACTCTCTGTCTGACTGTGTGTGTGCAAGTTCAAACATGCAGACTTATGGATATTTCTTCCTATTTTATGAAATTCTATTTATCAGAGACTTTTTTTTGACTTTTATTGTGAAGTTTAAAACAGGACAAGAATTTATTCATCACTGTAACTCTAGTTGCCTAATTCAGAAGAAAACATACAAAGTTTTATATACTATGAACTGCATTCCTATAAAAATATAGACAGATTATTAAGAAAGCAAAGTATCTAATTGACAGCGAGTGAGCAAGCAAGCGAGCGAGCGATCGAGCGAGACATTGACAGAATAAATTATCTAGTGTTATGTCTAATAGTCATATGGAAAATTTACATTGATGACAGTGGAAACAAAGCAATGTGTGACATCAAAATAGACACAATGATAACCACGATGTAAGCTGTGCTTTGTATTCTTTTCGAGTTGGATCCATTTCTCTGTGTTCAAAAGATGAAATAGAAAACAGTGACATGAACTTACTGATTGCACAATATATTCGATGTATAATTTTAAATTAAAGTTAAGAAAAAAAGATTAAAAGAAAACAACAACAATTATATCAGTGTAATCAGTCTGTCCCTTCCCTCCTATCACGCCTTTTTGGTGAATATCTGCATTTCAGCATTACAGATTCGGTTGGAGTATTTCATCATGAGCTGATATCAGTTAGAGGGGCAGTGGAAAATTCTCTGAGAGTACTGGACAGCTGATTTCTCCCTCCTAGTTTGAGACTCTTCTTCAGTACCCACCCACCCACGGGGTTCGAACCCAGGACCTCCTAGGTACAAGACGAGCACATAGACCATCGAGCCAATATAGATTATAGATTTGTAAATTTCCCTCTGTTTCCTATCAAATTCCTTCGATGATATTTTATGAGTGACAGGTGATTTGATTACTGTATTTTTCTGTATACAACTGACTGATAAGGAGACTACTCCATGTTATCCGAGTGGCGAAGTGAATTTCTATTACTGTACATTACACCGCATCACATCACATCACTTCACAGGTGTAAAAATCAAGTACAGGTTTCAAGTCCTGGTAAAATCTTAAGTAATGCGAAACTCGCATTCCACCTTGAAAAGATTGACGTGTAAACCACCCTTAAAAATGAATGATTTTGATGTACTCAGTCTAAATGATTAGGTGAAAGGAAAGAACACTTAATATGGGTGAGATTGAAATTACTCTGCAAAAATGCAAGAGAAACGTGCTATTCAGCGATATCAGACACGCCAATTGTGAAGATTTCATAATCGAGTGGTATTTGCAATATCGAATTCAAGGACTATAGTGCAATATATATATATATATATACTTATATATGCATCACAGTTCTGAGTAATAACCGACAACTCTTATCCATTATCAGTTTGATGCGTCTCCTTAAAAGTTCTATTCCCTTCTTTTAACTGTTGACAAAACACTAAAAATCAGAATTTTATCATGAGCTGACCTTGTTTAGAGAACCATTGGAGCGGGTTGAGTGTCAAAAAAAACGATGACATTAGCTAGTGGTCACGTTATATTGAAAATTGACAGAAGTTAGAATCCATGGGCCATTGGATCGAGAGTCTCAGTGGCTCAATCGTCTACGAGCTAGCTCGCCTTGTGAGCAGAAGTCCTGGGTCAGAACCCTGTTGGGCGGATACTGATGAAGAGTCCCAAACTAGGACGAAACAGCTGTCCAGTACTCCCAGGTGGTTTTCCAGTGGTTCTCTAACTGATATCAGCTCATGATGAAATCCTCCATACAGTTGAAATTGTTTCAGGAGACATAAATTCTTTCAAGGTTGCAGATACATCTCACCTACAAGTGACATCAAGTATACCACCTAGGTCCAGGTCTTCCTACTGACTTCTGGTGGTCATCTTACTTAGAGACACAAATTCACATATTCCTAAAATCAAAGCCTTTGGAATAAACAGTTACCGGAATGAATTAGTACTTGCGAGAATTAATCAATGCACATAGTGGCTATAGGATGTTTCAAGACTATGTTTAAAAGTATTTTCTATTTTGTTTTGGTTTTTATATCTTACCTGAAGGGTTAAGAAAGGAAGAATTCGATCAATACTGCCATTATTTGGTGCTGGTTCTAGATCGAGCAGAAGACAAAGCATGTCGTATATGTCTACTAAGTGAACATCGCCATCGGATAAATCGGTATGATTGTTTCTCACACGAGGTCCCATAGCCATGAGAAATGAGGACATCTCTTCGTTAATTGGATCGTATCCATGACCACCTTTAAGTGCTATCATTGAAAAAAATAAAAATAATTTTATTATTCATGCCTATCAGTGCAACCGGATACCATCTCTCCAATGAAATATTAATCCACGACGATGAGCTTAGTGTAAATGAACATTGATCGCCTATTAATGTGTTGCCTCTTTTTATCTCCTTCACATTCCCAGTGCGACATAAGGCTTCGAGCTAGTGGCTTGAAGTTTCTCTAGCAGTGTTTATTTTACAGGATGGGGTTGCCAGCCTCATGCACAACCTTTCCTCTTTACCAGCATTATTTCTGGCCCAGCGAGTTAGAGGAGTGCGTCTGTGGCCGAGGATCGAACCCCGGACCATGTGCATGGTCGGCGAGCGTCCTAACTGCTATGCCACGGACGCTAATTGTTAGTCCACATGCCGGAACTCGGGATGTTTAGTTACCAAATTTTCGTCAGTAATAAAGACATCCTCGGATTATTAAGATTTCAAATACAGGAGGCTGACAAAATACCTCAGTTTATTTATTGTGTAACAACAGATGACAAGACACGGAAAGCAAAGTATATTTCATTAATAATACCGCTGTTCGAATATCTATGCAGCTTATATATTGGTCAACCAAAAGCTGGGCGTGCGATTTCAGTTTACATCAAACAACATGAAATAGAATGATCAAATATACATGCATAGTATTCTTTTGTTAATGCAGTAGTGAACTGTGGGAATAACATTCCGACTCTAACATCAAATGGAATGTTCAAATGGATATGTATTGCATTCAATTGTGATTGCCAGTTTGCACTGTGGGAATATGTGAGAATGATATTCCGTCGGGATACATTGTTGATGCCTTTGGTTGTCAGAATGAGATTTAGACTTATGAAGTGATTCCAATGTATGCGACAATGTTAAACTTAGTGCAAAGTTTACGACTTCAGCTTCATTTCTGTTTGCAGACAGAGTTTCCTAGTACGCTGACAGTAATTCTAAGTCTACAAGATGCAATCACAGAAATGCGTCTTAATGTCTCTTGGCATTACTTCTTCCGGAGTGTATACAGACAGTGTGATAAAGTTTCCAATAGTATTGCTTCTTTCAGAATTGTCTACCTAAGGAAGTGAATCATTCCAGAATATCAACCAACATCTACATTTGATATTACCACAGAGAGAATGTTGGAAAAGATAAAGAACGAATAGGAAAAGTATGCCTGAAAGAATAAATTCACAGAAAATAAAGTGAAGAAGTTGGGAAATGTCCTAAATGAAATCGACCACTTGAAACACAAATTTATACAGATGTTTAGCAACATGGATAGTGAGCATATAATGAAATCTACTGATAATGACAAAGTTGCGGGTATCAATCAATCCAGGGATACTTAGAAGTGGCTTTAGGTGTAAAAAAAGAATATAAGTTGTGAATTACGTAGTAGTCAGTTGCACAACCGAAGAAATTGTTAGAAATTTGATAAGGTTAAACTATTTTTGAGTGAGAGAAGAAAAGTGGTAGTTGAGTGTCAATTTAACAAGTGTGAAGAGAGTGTGGAAATGTACAATAGGAGCATATGACAGTGGTAATGGTGAATTAGTTATTAAAGTAAAAGCAAACTAAAAGTAAAATTGAAAATGAAAATGAATTAAAATTCAAATGAATTTTACAGTCTCGTATTCTTCCTTGATTTTAACCTCTTCATTATCGTTCCATGTTAAATCCAGAATAATCAGATTAGGAAATTCACTAAACTAGTGGAAGATATATACGGAAAGGAGAACAGTGAGACGAGTCAACCGATCAATAAATCAAAGTGGGTTATCAATCTCAATTCATTCAGAAATTCCTGACTTTTTAGGAATTCTGCGTAAGGTTCCCGAGGTTCCTTCCTTGTATGGAATTACTACTGATGATTTAGATTCCTTATCGTTGGTGTCATCACTAATATTATTATCATTATTTATTTTATTTTTACAATAGTAGCAATAGTGATAATAATAATGACATTAATGACGGCACCAACAATAAGGAATCTAAATCATCAGTAGTAATTCCATACAAGGAAGGAACTTCGAAAACCACTTTACGCAGAATTTTTAACAAGGCAGGAATAAGAGTGGCTGCCATTCAAACTCAATCAGAAACAATCTTTGTCGGTTAGAGGATCAGTCCTTTGGAGCCGTTAAAACAAAACAATTTAGTTTATTTAATACTCCGCCTGCAATGATTGTCAGGTTAAATACATAGGTCAAACTAGTAGAACAGGGGCAGTCAGACTAGCCAAACATAAAAACCTGACAGCAAAATCTAGATTAGTTGACCCAAATAAGATAAGAAATCTAGAGATTAGTTTACCTATAGCATAACATGCAGTCAAACACTACCATACAATAGGATGGATGGGATAGAATGACAGTTTTAAAATCTAATGTAACATTTGGGTGTCACAGGGTGGAGTGATGGGGAGATTGATAACAGAAGCTTTGTTTATTGAACCAACCGCAAATACATGTAATAAGAGTGACTCAACACCTGTCCAGTTGGATATCTGGAAAATTCTGCTACCCCTACGACGAACAGGAGAAGACAAAGACAGCTATAGAACTCAAGGTTCAAAGTCGTGTGATTACAACTGATCTGATTATGATTAATAAATTTTGTTCCAAACGTCATCCAGTAAATAATAATAATGTTTCACTGTGTAATACATCTAATAATAAAACTAATATGGAATTACTTACTACCATAGTGTCCAAGTTTTACACATATATTAATATGAACTGATGAACTTCGTTTAGACAGCTTTCACAACGACGGCTATACATCGTGATACTAAGTGATTGAAGGTAGTATCACTCTGTAGGTCAGTAATAGATAGATTCTAGTTTGAATGTTTACGAACTAATTATTGGATCTGATAGGCACAGGTTCAATCTGAAAGCGAATTATGATTTCTCTTACTGATGGAGAGCAATGATGTAGGATAAATGTGCATTCGGATTCTTCTGTCATTTCAGTGGTTCAAATTTCTTTTTCTGTCTTACATGCCAGAGGTATACAAAGTAAGAATTCACCAGGGAACTGGACACATTATTTCTTCACATTCTCATGGAACTAAATTTTCAGATGATCTACAGAGGCTGAAAAAACTGAGCGGAGATTCGTATTCACTACTTAAGTCGACTATTTAAGGTGTATTGCCTAGGCTTATCTGCATCGTGGCTTCGTAAATTGTGATGTGTAGGCATCACTCATAACGAGAACCAGAATGAAATGTCACCACAAAATAGGTGTGATGTGATGAGCTCGAATCGAGTAATCAAGAGATCCTACTTTACCTTTCATACCATCACACCATTCAAGTTATATAGATGTATATATCCATAATTTTCTGAAATACTTTCATAATATACAAGTAGTCAGATTTCAAGATGAAATTTCAGACAGAAATCAAACGTTATAGGCATCGGCTATCATTCTCTCACAATAAACTACTCACTGACATGAGATGTTGTGGATATAAATAAAAATATAAACAAACTGAAGAGAAGGTAGGAAACACTTACTGAAACTGTATAGGCTATTCCGTTCAGCCGCAATCGTCCAGCCCAAATCTGCAAAGACTACCACAGGACCAATACGCCAACTCTTCTCAAAGTGTAAACGTTTCGGTAGTTTGTCCTTTAGGTACACTTTCATGTATTGATGTTTACCTTTGAGTTTCCGATACAAGGATTCTGCAGAACTTCCTGAGAAGCTGTCATTAGTAAGCGACACACATCTTACCGTTTTTGGGCCATAATGTCCAAACTACTGCGAATCGTTGAGGCGTTGAAAGATATTCACTACTTTCTATATAGTCATTCAAATATATTATTCGATCTGCACTCATATTGGCCATTCCGTGATCACTAGATACAACTAAATTCAGAGAACATTTAAGATTCGGTCGTGACTCGATTGACATTAGCAGATATTCTAATTGACTGTTGATATACTCGATAGATTCGAGTACCTCATGGCTTCCTGCACCGTAAATATGTCCTGCCTTGTCTGGTTGATGATAGTACAAAAGGCCAAGATTAATTCCTTCATTTTCATACCAATTCATTAGAAGGTCAATTCGTTGTTCAAATGGGATACTGCCATTATATGGTTTCAAGTAGAAATTTGGTCTGACTCCTTTCACTTCTGCTTCACTTCCAATCCAAAAAACAATCCCAGTCTTATAACCTTGTAGTTGATTTGTCACCCATATCGGTTCAGCACCGACATCAAAAAACCGAGAATCATTTGCTGATTTTGGATTTCCTATACGAAATGTGGTATCAATAATTGGATCATAGAAGGCATTATCGACTATTCCATGACTTTCAGGATAAAGTCCAGTAGCCATGGTATAATGTGATGGGAATGTTGAAGATGGGAAGACATTTGTCAACCTGTGCACATAAACGCCAGACTGTTGAATTTTTTTAAACGCTGACAGATTGATATTATTTTGTTCAGCCAAATCAAAGTAGTGATAGGGAAATCCATCAAGAGATAGGAATAGAACTTTTGGATTACCTGAGCAGCTATCATCACCATAGATACATTTTTGACGAAGATGAAGTAAAGTTAGAGTGATCAAAACAGTGACGATTGAAGTGTACTTCATTGAAGCCTACAATTATTTTATCTGTCTGGCCTATACGGTTTTGTGTTTATATATATGGTTTATTTATGGTCGTCTATTTGGTTAGACATCACCTTGGTCAGTCATGTGATTCAGGTTAATAATAATAGAGGTTTTTTGTATTTACCAATGAATGAAAAAACAAAACGAGATTGTAAAAACAATCTCGTTTTGTTTTTTCATTCATTGGTAAATACAAAAAACCTCTATTATAATGAATATCATATACCCAATGCCCAAATTTTTTCAAACCGTTAAAAGTGAACTTGGTTTGGGTATATATAACAGGTTAATAATAATATACAGAATTAATTATCATTGCTTAAAATATCTATAATCTTCCGTAGGTAATTAGCATAAATTGTTAATTTCGCTTCACCCGCTTCCTATTCCAACACCACACCTTCTTCCCGAGTATGGATCAGATGTCTGACGATAAATACTCAATGCACGAAATCCGATTTCTCCGGAGATCGCGTCAATCAATGCATTCTGTGTGGGAATCGTCGTCCAACCGATGTGTGTATTGCACATGCATGCAGGAGATCGAATAGGAAAATTATCTGACAATCTGCAAACTGATGTTCCACTGGACAAAATCGAACAGGCTTTTATGTGTTAACAGAAAATCGAATCTCATCGCATGCCAATCAATCGGGAATTTCACTAGGATCGCACTGCTTACCACGATTTACTGATTCTGGAAAACACTATGATGTAAATTCTGGTGATACAATGACGTGTTTGAGAGACTTGGTGAATCGGTGTTTAGAAAATGCCACACACGAAATAAATATTTGAAGCAATTTATCAGTAGCTTCTCTTATTCTTTTGGGTATACTGTATCTGTACTTCTCTCGAACAAGTGTCTTGTTCCATCATTCGAATGACCACATCATGGTTGGGCAATGAACATGTTGGGTATTGCCATCTTGATTGAATTCTAGGAAATGAGGTACTTAATTCAAGCTGTATTCAATGGTCAGTCACAATCGATTTGAGAAATCCTCAAAAACTGAACAGCTGAGGCTGTATGCTGCCTATAATGAAATTGTGATCGAACTTACAGATGTCTATTAAAGCGTACATCTAATAATTCAAACTGTGGTTGGACATCTAAGAAACTGAATGCTTCAATTGATGTGACAATGAATTAATCATCATAGTGTCCACAAGTCTCCTCGAATTTTACCAGTTCATATTTGATAGGTGCAACGATTGTCACCAAGGTGTCTGTGCAACTAGAATTAATTCTAATAAAATTGTGCCCTCTGTATTATCTGTATATTCATTTGTAACTCACAATCTCTCTGATTTGACCACAATCACTTAAAACTGTGGGTAGCTTCCTAAAAGTGCATTCAATGACGACTGAAATGATGGCATATTCGATCACAGTTCCACTGTAGGCAGCATATAACCTCAGCCATTCGGAAACTGGTAGACTGACGTATTCAATTCTTGAGGATTTTTCAGTGCGATTGTGACCGACATTCGAATACAGCTTGCATTAAGTACCCCATTTAGTGGGATTTATGTCAAGACAGCAGCATACAACACGTTCAATGCCTACCATGACGTCGTCATTCGAATGGTTGAACAGAACACTTGGTCGAGATAAGTACAGATACAGTACCGCAAAAGAATAGGAGAAGCAACTGATAAATTGCTCCAAATATTCATTTCGTGTGTGGCTTATTCTGATGACCACTGCTTCATCCAAAAGCACCACTAACACAGATCCCAGATGTATTCTTCCTTGGTTGTTGAATAGCTTAAATTCCCTTGGTTAGAAATCTCACTATCAAATAGTCAAATTACACATTCTCGAGAATGGAAACAACCCATCAGGGAACACAAAGATGGAAAATGTGACACTGTAATGTGACTTTATGTAAGGAGACGCGTGTAGAGAAAATCATCATAACAACTGGTGAATTCATATGATGAAGCGAAATATTCTCTACGAATCGTTTTGCCTTCTCGTCAGAATAATCTCCGTATATCCGAGCTGATTCACGTCATCATATTCTTCGTTTCAATAGTGGTAATTCCAAGATTACACATGAATTCAACAATACAGCTCCTCACATCCCACGGAGATTGCACAGTACGCGAACACACATCAATACATTGTATTCGATAAGGATGAAACAGCAAGTCATTGATGTGGAACTCACTTTCCACTCACTAGTTTAATGCAAGTGTATTGCAGACGAACACCTCGTAATGAGATGAATTCAATATTTACAATATTCAATCTGCTCTAGTTAATAGTAAATTCTATAGAAACCACTAAACGTTGCAGACATTTTTTTAATTTTATTTATTTCATCTAGTAAACGGAATTATACACAGGTGAATTAAGTATTTTTTTTTTGATTTACAGCTTGATTCCACACTGTAGTTTTGGTACAGTATGGAATTTTCAGCATGGATATCGGTAGCCCAAATTTCGCAGGCCGACCATAGATATCATGTGTGCGCCGGCGTGGGCTCGAACCCCGGACCATGTGCATGGTCGGCGAGAGTCCTAACCACTGTGCCACCGACGCAGGTGTTCCAGTTTCTGACTGAGTTCTGCCAAGCAAGGTTTTAATTTGGTCAGCAAGTGAAGACACTCTCTACTGCAGTTCATCTTGGAGGGATGTCGAGTGATGGTGGCGAGAGTCACAGGCTCATTGATCGATGAACCAGGCACCAGTGAAATCTCTATATGTGATAGCGTGAGCCAATTTCATTGAAGAATACGAATGACAGAAGCCTGACATGGAATTATTGAGGTGTCAGGAAGGTGGTTTCGTGCATCTCAAATCAAATAATTCTTCAGACTGCGAGATTCGCGCCAGGAATCTATTCATCCAATGCTTCCACAATGAGCCATTTCATTGAATATGTTAAGGAAGGCTACAGCCTGATCATATAATGTTTAGCGAGCGCGAATTGAGAAATAAAGGCATATAATTCCATTGATGTCTGCTCGCCACCATCAGCAATTTCATTGAAAAGCTTACGCATGATCGAGGCATACTCACTTGATATTTACATAACCGCTCAAGCGTGTGAAACATGCGGAAATCAAAGATCCATTGAATTCGTGTGTGAAAGTCATACATTCAGAAGACAGCCTCTAAACATCAAGACAACTATACAAACCACCGTCACCTGAGAGAATAACAATCCACACACACCCTCACCTCGACGATAACTCAAATAATTTGTAGACGCTACTGAGAAGGATTTAAAGCAATAGGAAAACCACGGAATAGGTGAGGGAGGATATTTCTTACTGCAAATCAAACTCACTGTAATTTCGTCTTAATATCCTTGTACAAATCGAACGGAGGCGGTTGTTCACGACGTGAATTACCTCAGATAGTTAACCTTGTATTGGGTCTCAATGTGAAAGCTGTCAGTCTATTACACCTTATGTTCGACCCGCTTCAAACCTGTCACACCAAGTAACTTTATTCAAAACTTTCACATAATTAGGAATAATTGAGGCACAGGTAGTAGGCATTCGGAGAGGTACATTAACACTCACAATGTACCAATCTATATTCATTCGTGAGTTGATGACACGGCGGCTAGGACGCTCGCTGTCCATGCAACATGGTCTGGGGTTCGACCGCGATCAAAATATACCTGGTATCAATGTTCGGCCTGCTAAATTTCGGCCAACCGTATCACATTCTGACAATTCCATGCTTGTATCGAAAATACTGTATGTATTCAAAGTATGATAAAATGAGACAGTTATTAAATATTCCCATCGTAAAATTTAGAACAACAAATTTAAGCGAGCAATATCGTTTTCAATTAGATCTCATCTGGCCTAACTCTAATATGCATAAGGGTACAAATAAAAATCCGAATATAAACCAATCATAGTGTTTTGTCTATAGAAGAATACGATGGTGAATATAAGTTGTGCAATTAGTCATAATAGTAGTAATGATAATAATAATAATAATGGTTTTATCAATAATAAGGATGAAAAAGTGAGGCAATCTGTGATAACACGAATAATGAGAAACAGTATGATTAAACAAACAAATGTTCCGGTAGACATAGTAGTCGATAAAGGCTAGTAAAAACAAATGAACCGATTAGGTGATGTTAGATTGTAAGGGAAGGAAATGAAACACGTTTTTAATGAAGGTATGATAAAATTAAGGGATGATAAGAAGGGAGTTGAACATATAAACAAGGGGTGGTGTAGTAGTCTTTAGTTGGTTATGTCTTAATAGGCAAAGGTCAGCCATTGTCCCTCCAACTAAAGACTTCTACACCACCCCTTGCTTATATGTTCAACTCCCTTCTTATCATCCCTTAATTTTATCATACCTTCATTATAAACGTCTATTATTTCCTTCCCTTACAATCTAACATTACTTAATAAGTTCTTTTGTTTTCACTAGCCTTTATCAACTACTATGTCTACCTGAACATTTCTTTGTTTAATCATACTGTTTTTAGTTATTCCTGTTATCACAGATTGTCCCACTATTTCATTCAAATTATTCATAAGACCATTATTATTATTACCATTAATATTATCATTATTACTATTATGACTAATTGCACAACTTATATGCACCATCGTATTCTTCTATAGACAAAACACTATGATTGGTTTATATTCGGATTTTTATTTGTACCCTTATGCATATTAGAGTTAGGTCTGATGAGATCTAATTGAAAAAACAAGAATATTGTTCACTTAAATGAGTTGTTCTCAACTAATAGTAATAAATCTCATCATGCAATGTTTCCAAATATTACGTAAAACTTTCTCATGAATACTGTGTAGGGAGGTGTCCACTGATGGCGATTAAATACGCATGAGAATGTTCGTATGTTCACCTTCGTCCAGTGATGATTTCCGTCCATGTGCAACGGCGTGTGTGTGTGTTAATGCGAGGGTGAGTGAAGGAGAAATAAAAGCACATGGAGTGAGAGAGAGAAATAGAATGAGACATGGAAATGGAATGGGACGATTATTTGTATTCTCCTGACGAAATAATTATTGCTGTAGTGATGACAAGATTGCAGGCAATCACTCATCTCAGCAATAATCAC